TGAAAATGTGTCTAACTCGATATATTAATGCGTAGGGTATCTTAGTCTTCCTTTCGGCAGATGCCTCATCCTGAGGGGTCGCCGACCAAAAGAATGAGTTAGTGCCCATTAACAAATTCAATTAAGTCCAAAGCTTAAACCATGAGTTGTTAGTCAACAAAATATAATGGTTCCATATTACATGGATTGCTTTCATTTAACACCCTCACACATGTATCTCATTATACCTCCCATTTTTTGCGATTTTTAGGCAATATATACGTGTTAAGACTAATCATATAAAATTTTATATCATGACCCATAAGCTTACACTATTGCGAAATCTTTGTTTTTTTTTTTCTCCCTCTTAATGTTAGTTCTTGCATCCATTGAGGAGTAATTATATTAAATTTTATAGATTACAAAATATCCCCATTTTTTACACATTCGTACTTTAAGGAATAACATGCTAGTTTGGCATCGACCTTTGCTCTTAAGTGTAAACTTGAAAGTGGACTAATCAAATATCTATGCTATGTGGCGCGAGGTATTTTTATTTTGGGGTTGTTTTCACAATATAATGATGTGAACTATAGTAAGTAAAAGTATTATTGGATCATATAATGGGAAATTTGAACTTTGAAGGAATACATGATGTCAAATCCTAGGATATGATTCTCATTCGTTCTAACTTTATATCTAACTTTATGTAAAATCTTAAGATATGAATTCTCACTTGCTCTAACTTTCTGTAAGATCCTAGGATATGAATTCTCATCGGTCTAGCTTTACATAAAATGCTAGGATATGAATTCTCATTCGCTCTAGCTTTATGTCAAACCTTAGGATATGATGCTCATATGATGTGAATTCTCATTCGCTCTAACTTTATGTAAAATCCGAGGATATGTTGGTGTCAAATCCTAGGATATGATTCTCATACGCTCTAACTTGATATCTTGTTTTATGTCAAATCCTAAGATATGACTTCTCATTCTCTCTAACTTTATGTCAAACCCTAGCATATGATGCTCACATGATGTATTATTTAAGGTCGGGTCTCAAAATGAGATCGACTACTTTTGGTTTCTCCCCTAGTGCTTAAATATGACGCTCCTCAAAAGGCGGGAAGTGACCTGTATAGCTTATCTTTGTGTTTACCATTTGAATGTAGCGCTTCCAATGGCAAACCCTGTCCCTTATTTAAAGAAATAACCACACAATTATCTTATATGTATGAAACTATTTTCAGATAAATGTTTACTCCCATTTTACTTGTGGTTAGTGACTGATAATTGTTGTCTACTGCCTTAAGGGACTTCCAATGATGAGGAAAAGTGTCAGAAAAGTCTTAAACCTTTTGCATTGGTGCCAATTTAGTTTTAAACAATTTTTTTATATCAATTGAGTCCTAAATCTTTTGTTTTTATGCCAATTCAGTCATTCCGGCTAATTTTGGCCAGATTTCGCTGACGTGGACCCTTGCCGGCCGGCCACCGGCACTGACGTGGACAATTCTTAATAATATTTTAATATTTTTTGAATTTGTATTTATTTTTTTCATTTTTCTTTTCCTCCTCTCCCTCTTCCTCTAGCCGGTCGCCGAACCGGCGACCAGCCTGAGGCCAAAGGCCGGTGACCTGGTGAGCCACGCCGGCCACGGGCGAAGGAAATGAGAGAATGAACGTAAATGCAGACAACGAAGATCTTTTGAAGCAGTCGCCATGAAGCGGTTGACCATTGCCGCCAAGAGCCCTCATTGTCGTGCCTCCGCCAGTCAGGGACACCGGCTCCCTCGCTCGCTCAACGTTTCTAGTGCCTCTCCATCTATCTCTTTGCGCTGAGGTTGTGACTCACCGCTACAGAGGTCACAACCTCCAAATCCATGGTCACTTGAGGCTAGCAGCCTCCATAGCTGCGGTGGTGGGCTTGGCGCCTGCTCATCGTTCGACATCAAAGCCATGGGGAGAAAATATAAATTTTTTTTATAAAATTTGAAATTTATCTTTTACTCTTAATTGCTGTAAAAAACTTGTAAATATGGAAAATAGGAGAAAACTAAATTAACTAATATACTAGTAATAGAAAAAATAAATATCAATAATTATATTTTAAACAATAAAATTTTGGTAAAATTTGATACATTTAGCCACTTGAATAGAACTATATAAGATAGTTAAAATAATAATAGACACAAATGAAAGAAAAAGGGAAAATGCCTTAATCAGAAAATGTATTGTACGATTATAATAAAAAAACGATATTGTACTCAGATTGCTTTCGAAGTTTATCTATATTTATACTCCCAATCATATCTCACGTAACATGCCAATTAGAACTTACGTACCAAATATTAAACGATTACACTGGAAAATATGCAACCTGGTGTCACGTATTTACTCTAACGTAGTACCTAATAAGGAAAAAATGCAAGTGCACTTGCTAGGATTCAACCCATATTTCAATAAACAGGTTTATACAATTTCTTTTGAAAATAAGTATAGAATCAATGCATGGTATCAAAGGACGTGGACCAGAGAAAGACCTTAAAAGAATAGCGAACAAAAGAGAGGGAATTTGGGAATTTGATTCCTCACGCTAATAGTAACCAAATTCGAATGATTACAAAGTGTCAATTGATGTAAGAGAAAAACCAAAGTACAAGAAACTTCAACTTGATTAATTAATCCAGAGGTTCTCGAAATCTAAAAGGACAATGACACAAATAATCCCAGGACTTTGATCCAATGTGCAATATAGTCCCTGAGTTTTATCCTAATATGCAATATGGTCCTTGATTATTCAATTTGTTCAATGTGGGTCCTGGACTTTTTTTTGGTAAATGTTCAACTTAGTCTCTGAACTATATGAAAATATTCAATGTTGTCCTTCAATTTATTCAAATTCAGGGACAATATTTGAACATTTTCAAATAGTTTAAGGACTAAATTGAACACGTATCAAAAGTCTAGGGACTACATTTAACAAATTGAAAGTTTAGGGACCACATTGCATATTGGCCTACAGTTTAGAGACCACATTGAACAAGTTGAAAGTTCAAGGACCATTTGTGTCATTTTCCCAAATCTAAATTTCATGCTCCTAAGTGAAAAACTGGATTAGCAAATAGCAATTTTCTTCTTGAACAAGATCAAATCGTTTTTTTTTAATGCTTTTTTCTGATCAAATGAACAATCAAGATGAAATGGCCGACCCAACGCCTGATGGTGGAATGTTGGGCAAAGCTCGAAAAAAACGTCGCTCTCTCTCTCTCTCTCTAATTGAAACACAAACAATAAAGGCAGAAGGTAAAAGCCAAAAAAACATCCTATTGAAAAAATATTCTTTTTTTTACTATACGTAAAAATTTAATGCAAGAAAACAAAAGGACCATAAAATTGTGCTAATTATGGGTGAGCAATTTCAAGGTCGGTTCAGGTTCCACTTGAAACTTGGAACGTACCCTGTCAGGACCGATTCCCCATTTTTTAGAGCCAGAAACCTATTTTGCATACCCTGAAACCTGTAACCTATTTTGTCAATTGATTCTAGGGTCTACTAGGAAACTGGCCAATTTTTTTTTTTGGTTTCATTAAGCAAAATGAAAGTGAATGCAACTAGGGGTGATCGGTTCCCGGTTTAATTTGGTTCCAAGGTGGAACGGGGAACCGGACTGGGAGGACGGGTTCCCAAAATTGGGAACTGGGGCAGTTCCGGTCCAATGGAATCGGTTACTTAGAATTTAGTTCACATTTTATTAATTTTTATCAATGAATATATGTCAATGAAGTTCACTTAGAATTTAGTTCACATTTTACTAATTTTTTGAAAAATGAAAAACTAAAAAAAAGTATACATAGTGGGTTCGGTCCGGCCGGTCCGTTCTCCCTTGGAACCGGGAACCGGTCGGCCTGGACACCAGTTCCACTTTTAGGAACCAAAAATCAGACCGACACTCACAGGAATAGGACCAATCGGCCAGTTCGGTCCGGTTTGGGTGGTTCATGGTTTGGGTGGTCCGTTTTGTACACTCCTAAATGCAACAACAAAAATCTCTATTTATCAATAGCAAAATATGAACATGTAGAATAATTAGGAGCATGAGCAACAGAGGCCAAAAGGAAGTATAAAAAAGAGCAAGAAAAGGCAAACAGAGCATAGGGGAGAGAGGAAGAAGAAAAGATGAAGGGGGAGAGAGGGAGAAAGAGAAGGAAACCGTGCAGGCTGAAACTCGTACCACAACTAGTCAAATTTGGAGCCTTATTAACCTGTATTTTGGTAATCTCTTTGTTTCGAAATTGTCATGCAATTAAACTACGTTGTGTGTAGTTTCTCCGTTCTCGGTCCCCGATCCAGTTTTTCGATTCTCGGTTCTCGATTCCCTGTTTGGTTCTTACCCATAAACCAAAAACCGAACCACATAGTACCGGTTTCACTTTTTTTGGAACGGAAAACCGGACCGATAATTGCAGAAATCTGAAACAAGATCGATTTCTATGACTGGTTCGGTCCGGTTCCCGATTTTTACCCTGAACTTGTGCTCACTCCAATACTAATAGATGCCCTACCGACTTTTGCTCATGATGAGCGCATATGCAGTGTAACCATTTTCATGTGGGCCCATTCGAATTCCACAAATAATTATTGGACCTGTGCCTTAAAGTCCAAAGTTTTCGACCATAGTTTCCTAATTTAGTATTGCGTTAATGATAATGATTCTTCTTCTTGCTTGGGAATGTGTTTAATGTTTTGTATTTTGTTTCCTTTGGTTTTATGTTGATGATTATGATTTGAATAATCAATCGCCGACTTCACATTGTAAAGTCCAATGATTATAGTTTGGGGTAGGAATCACGCAGCTATTATTACCTAAACCAACTTTGAGCAAAGCTTGCGCTACTATTGGCGGGGCCCCAAAAGTGACGTGATCGTCCATTATAAAAGGGACTGGTGTTAATCTGAAATGCAGACATTGAGACACTCTTGTTTAGACCATCCAATTCTCAAGCCAAATAGCTAAGAGCCAATTTCCTCCACCTTTTTTAGCCCATTCCCTCATCGGAAAAACACGGCAGACCTCTTTAGCATCGCAGAGTTGGTGCTTGGGAAGATAGCCTCCATTGCCCTCGAAGAAGCCATCGAGATTTATGGTGTTGAGAACCAGATCAGCGAGCTTAGAGAGACGTTGACTACCATCAAGGCAGTGTTGTTAGGTGAGGAGGATCAACAGGCAAAGAAGCGCAACCTGCAAGTGTGGTTAGATAAGCTTGAAGACATATCCTACGATGTGGAGGATGTGTTCGATGAACTCGAGTGTGAAGCCTTAAGGAAGCAGGTGATAGGTCGCTATGGGGGCGTCAAAGAGAAGGTACTCTTCTTTTCCCTCTCTAATCCACTGATACTCCGTGACAAACTCAGTCACAGAGTCAAGGAGATAAAGAAGAGATTATCTAGAATTTCTACCGAGAAAGATCAATTCGATCTTAATGTGGAGAGTGCTGACGGTGGCGTGGCACATATGCATTCACGCGAGGTGACTTACTCGTATGTAAACAAGTCGGATGTCATCGGAAGAGATACTGATAAAGAAAAGATAATTGAGATGTTGATGCAGCCAACATATGACAAAAACCTCACAGTGATTCCTATTATTGGAATAGGAGGTGTGGGCAAGACAACCCTAGCAAAATTAGTTTACAATGACGATGGTGTGAAAGAGAAATTTGAGTTGCAACTATGGGTGTGTGTGCCAGAGGACTTTGATTTAAAGAAAATCATTGAAAGAATTATTGAAGATGCAACTGGTCAAAGTTTGAGTAACCTTGATATTCAGCAGTTGCAAACTCGTTTGCGAGACACCATCAAAGACAAAAAATTTCTACTTGTCTTGGATGACGTATGGAGTGATGACCGCCGTAGATGGAAAGAATTGAGAGATTTGCTTAGTGTAGGAGCTAGTGAAAGCAAGATAATCGTGACAACACGCGATTCAGAAGTCGCTTCTATAATAGGCACTCATCCGGCACATTATCTAGAAGGTCTTTCTCATGAAAACTCTATGGCCTTGTTCAAAAGATGGGCATTTGTCGAAAAGGAAAAGGAGCCTCGTCCTGAACTCCTTGAGATTGGAAATAATATTGTTGAAAAATCACAAGGAGTGCCTCTCCTTGCGATAATTTTGGGAAGTCTACTTCAAAGAAAGGACGAAGAATGGTATTGGGCATATATAAGAGATAGCGAAGCAAGTGAGTTAATGGAAGTAAAAAAGGTCATTCTGCCAGTACTTAAGCTTAGCTATGATAATTTACCCTTCCACTTAAAAAGATGTTTTTCTATCTTATCACTTTTCCCCAAAGGAGATGAAATCAAGACCGGGAAATTAACAAGGCTATGGATAGCTTTGGGACTCATTAGTCCAACAAGGCAAAAACAAGCACCAGAAGACGATATTGGTGTTGAGTACGTGAAAGACTTGTGGAGGAGATCTTTGATCCAAGATGTTGAGGAGTGCGGATCAGAATTATGTTTCAAAGTGCATGATTTGGTCCATTCTCTTGCAACGATTGTGGGACAAAATTGTTCTACTGTTGACTTAGATACTCCAGAGATTTTAGAAAGAGTTCGGTATGTTTCGATCCGTACTGCTTCATTAGAGGAAATTTCAAACTACGATGGAGTCCCACCTTTTCTGAGAAAAGAAACTTCAAAGAGGCTGGGTGCAATTATGTTTCAATGCCAAGTTGATGATGGAGTTATTACTAGAAAATTTGCTAGAACATGCATCTCCAAGTGTAACCACTTACGGTATCTCGACTTGTCATATGGTAGCTTTGAGGAGCTGCCAAGTTCCATATGCGACTTGAAGCAATTGAGATCATTAATTCTCTCTGAGAACAAGCGATTGAAGAAGCTTCCAGACACCATTTGTGAGCTGCAGAGTTTGCTACATTTAGATGTTAGTGGTTGCTCGGAGCTAGACGAGTTACCCAAAAATATGAAAAGGCTTGTCAATCTTAGTTATCTATATATAACAACAAAGCAGAAGAACCTACAAGAAAGCGGAGTACAATATCTGGAAAACTTGCAATTTTTGGGAGTCAAGGCATGTGAAAATCTCCAACTTTTGTTTGAAGGTATGTGCCGACTGATTCGACTTCGGGAGTTACTAATTGAAAATTGTGGGAGACTAATATCTCTACCTTTTGGGGAATTAATCTCCCTAGAGTGTTTGTCCATTGAAAGTTGCCCGCTCATGTTGATCCTGAAAAAGTCCAGCTTTCCTTCGCGTCTTCGTGTACTATCAATTACAAGTTTCGAACAAGTGATGGAGCTGCTCCAATGTCTCAATGAATCTGCTTGCACTTTGAAATCGCTTTGCATCTATGACTGCCCAAACTTCACGGCTATACCCGAATGGCTTCCCAATCATATACATCTCAGGGAAATTCGCTTGATCCGATGTCCCAATTTATCGTCCATGCCAGAAGGAATCCAATCTCTCACTGCCCTCAAACAATTACACATTCTACATTGTGGTGAGCTGAGCAAAAGATGTGACCCTCAATCTGGCAAGGATTGGTACAAAATTAGTCATGTTCCTCGAATCATACTTGATTCAAAACATATACAAAGGACGGAGAATTAGGTACGCATCAATCTGCCTCTCTCTTCATTTCTTCGTTCTTAGATGTAATATATCCATATAAATCGAGATTCCGTTCTTGCATATATTTTTCTCCTGACTTCCTCCCTTCATGAAAATTAGGAGAAGAGAATAATGCATTACGCACGTTCATAATATTGGCGACTTTAACTATATACTTACTCGGACAACTTTTGACAAATCCCAATTTCCAGTTCCATGTGGCACATGAAAGTAAAATTTGATTTCTTATAATGGAATCTCGTTCTCATTTTAATTAGGAATTGGAATTTGACGTACCATTTTGAAGGTATGCTTTTTCTTTTGATGATTATTATTGCAGAAGGTTGAAGCTATGAAACAATCGGAAATTTCATTCTGCTGTATATGAAGTTGAAAAGTATGCATTCATACTCAATCATGATAATATCATTGGAGGTTATTTTTTGGCATAATCCTTAATACAGAATGATTTCGAACAAAAGTGTTCATGGCAAACTATACTTAAACTCACTTAATGATGGCGTATGCTAATTTATACATAAGATAGCCGCTCTAGCTTAAGTTGATATTTCGAATACAATTTATCAAATGAATCTGTTGCAAGTGTCCTAGAAGGACTAGTTAAGTTCACTTGCCGCATCAAATAGCAATTGTGAAATAATTGGAAATTTATTGAAGAAAATGCACTTATTAGAAAACCACCTATATAAAAAACTTTACGACTCCTTTGATTTCAGAAAGCATTTTCCGTTTCCATTTTTCTTTTAATTAAAAAGAGAAAGCAGGAACAAGATTAAAAGTAGGGCTAATAGCACAAAAAACCCTAAACTGGTATACTGGTGCTACATTTATTTTAAACTAATTTTCATGTCATAAAAACCCCCAAACTGGCACATCGAATCCACATTTACCCCAAACTAATTTCTGTGTCAGAAAAAACCCAAGTTAGTACATGTGTGCCACATTTAACCCAAATTGATGTACTTTTGTCACATTTACCTTAAATTTGGTAAATCCGAGATCTTTTGGGGATAAACGTGGCATGAATGTATCAATTTGGGATTTTTTGTGATATAAAGATTAGTTTGTGGTAAATGTGGCCTGGGTGCACCATTTTCGAGCTTTTTGTAGTATTAACCCTACTTAAAAATTCACACTAAATTATATTTGTGAGACTATCTAGAATTTTTAACTTAAATAATGAAATAAATAATATATACCATAAATCCAGTTCCGTGCATAGCACGGGAGTGATTGCTAGTCTAAATAATGTAATTTGAAGGCTTTGGGATAATCTTTGTTGGCAAGACACTTGGCTTAATACCATTGTAGGAGTGTCAAATGGAGCCAATGAAAAATGCCTACAATCAACATTAATTAACATGAATTTACCAAATAAAAAATCACTTATTTTAACTCAACATGCATGGAAAGTTAACACACAGAGAAATCTATTCACTTTTAATTTCACTTTCCTACCTGAGAAAAACTAATTTTCTCGATTCATTATCAAAATGGTGAAATGTCTTTAATCAAAATAGTTGCACATATCTATGTTCACCGTTCTTGAAGGTGATGTGGTTCAACTTCTTATAATTATTTCTAATTATGTCTTGCAATATTAAGTTTTGTTTATTTCACCAAGAGTTTTTTACTTTCCGCGATCAGATATAATTCATAACTCTCACAGTATAACATGTGAAAAAGCCCCCGCAATATTCTTTAAAAAAGCTACTAGCATAGTCCCACTAACGATGCATGTGAACGAAGCCATGGCCAAAAAAATTATTTCCAACTGCAAAGCAGAATTTACTTTTAGAATAGTAATTTCTTTGCATCAAATTTTTTAAAAGAAAACGAGATTAGCATATCGTATTTTAATATACAGAGAGAGATGTCTAAGATCGAGGGTCATGAGAGCAACATGACTGCTTTCATTTCATTTTTATAGTAATTTAAATTACAAAAAGCGTAAAGCTAATATCCCCAAAAAAGCAAGGCCTCTTTTGGAACTCTTTTATGTATCAATTTACCTCACGTGTTATTTCCTCAAGACATAAAATATAATGGCGAAAGAAGAAATTTAAGTGGCTAACAATACGTCCACAAAATAGGATGTCGTTTTCTCTCTAGATTGGATATTTGTATATTAATTTGTCACGAAAAATAGTGACTTAGGATCGAAACATATAGGTCTTCAACTCAAAAGTTTTAGGGCCGCTTTGTTTCTGTTTAAAGTTTAAACAAAAGTAAAAAGTTTTTTTTTCACTTTCTCGTTAAAAATGTTATTAAAATTTCAAAGAATATGAAAATATATATATATAAATCTGCTTGCCAACATTTACATGTTGCGAAAATTTAAGATGTTTTAGATTAACAAAAAGTCAAATGTGTATGTCATTTGTGTATATGGACTCTCCATTTTGATCGAACTTAGTAATAGTAAATCAAAATTCACGGCTCGAGTACCATTAGCACAATGTTCAAAAACTTTCACATCGGTCTTTATTGAAAGAAATCTTACATCCATATACAAGTTTACTTCGCTAACCAATGAAAAATATCTTAATAATTAGAATATCCATGCTTTCTTTTTTCTTTTCTTTTTTTTTGGTCAAAACATGACACCACCTCAAATGTCATAATATTATGTTATAGATAGTCTAAGCTCGTTTCCTCTTTTTTTTTTTTTTCCTTTTGAACGCAGATGAGCTCCCATGATCTATTTGCCGTGCCATGTGGATCGCTGCAAAGATTTGAACGTGTCCTCAGCTAATCCTTCGTCACTATCTTTCCTTTTTGAGATGAAAACAATGGCCGTTGATATTGTACTTGTTACTTTCTTTCCTTGAATGAGCGGTGCTGTATTATTTGTTTGTGTTTGTATTGCAAATTTCTCTAGTGGGAAAATACTTATTCGTATTGTACGAGACCAATTGTAGTATTATCTTTGCTTGAATTTTCATGGAATGATATTTATCTTTCATTTACATATAGGGAATGAAATCACGCAGCGCTATCAAATCTTATATTTGGTAAATTAGCATAAATTGCTCGATCTTTTTATAATTATTCCACTAGAATATTTAAAGAGTGTCCAAATATAAAAGACCATATTTTTCCATTTATAGTTTGCTTTACTTTACTACAACATAGGAAGATTATGTTTTTTCTTTTCTTTTGCTACTAAGACTGGATCTAATGAACATGAAAGCAAAAGACTAATTGCATGAACAATACAGTTTTTGTTATCAGCTCAAAGCTTTGTCAGTTCTAGTCTCCCAAGTACTTTTGTTTGAACTCATGATTGTGTATGCTATTGTTCCTCATAAGTTCAACATATCCTCGGTCGATTTTTATGACTACACTAGAACAGATAAAACCGCCCAGATTGGACATCCTGAAGATGAGAATGAGGTCGACAAGCCTTGGCCACTGGATTTAGCCAAATCGGTATCATTCGAAGGTGAAATGGATTCTCAGCCTGAAAAGTGAGAAACACATGAAAAAAAAAATTTGTTACCGATATGTCCTAGAAGAACCAATGGCCGAGTCACACCATATTAAAACCTTAATGTTTGGTCCCTTGCTTATAAAACAAGATGATCCTTTTAGTTGGAACGGATTTTGTATAGCCATTATGATCGTCTGTCAAAGACAAGACAACATTGGCATTCGTTGTTTGCGGTTCATTAAGCTCTCTTGAGCCCCCCATTCCTGTTTTTCCAATGGCAAGAAAAGAAAATGGCCGAATTAATCCTTTTCGGCATTGCAGAGTGGTCGAGCCAGCTCGGATAGCATGTCCTCCCATTATTTGGATAAGATGTTTAGGCAAAACCATGCTTGCTAAACTCGTGAAAATTAGAAAAGAGGTTTGGTTTCAGAATATGGGTATGCATTTTCGATGATTTTGATCTAAAGAAAACTCTTGAAAATGTCTTGAGAGACTATTGGTCAAGACTTGATCAAAGTTTCAGCCGCTATTAGATACCATGGACGTTGAGCAATGGTTGACCCCTTTTGCTGTACTTAGTAATCGGTAAGAATTTTTTCCCCGTGCTAGACGATGCATAGGACAACGGTTGGACTCATAGCATGTGGAATGATATGAGAGATTTGTTCAGGAAATTGCCTGGTTGCCACAACCCGCAGTCACGAAGTCAATTCCCTAATGGGATCTGTATTAGCATTCGAGTTCAAAGCCTTTCTTCTCAGGACACTCTTGCTTTTCCTCAAATGGGAACCTGATCGCATGTAAGACAATGCGCATTTCGCAATCGCAATCGCAATCAATATTGTCAACAAATGCAAGGGAGTTCCTCTGGCTCTGGAATCTCTTGGGGGCTTACTTTTATGCCTAAAGGTGACCAATCAACTATACTGGACACAACACTCTATCTAATCTCTTTGAATGGAGAGTTCTATTTCCTAATGCTGAAGCTTATGTATTGCCAGCTATTGGCTCAGATCACAGTCCACTCTTATTGTCACTCTTTGCTGAACCAGTGAAAAAGAAGAGAGAATTTAAGTTCGAAGCTTTCTGGCTTGAGGATGCTGAATGTGGAAAAATTGTTAAAGATGCATGGAAGATCCCTGAATTGGAAAATACCGATTTGCAGGAAAAAATACACAAAGTCACAGTTGCTCTGACAGAATGGAGTAGAAAAAAGTTCTCCAATGTTCAGCGACAGATCAACAACTTGAAAAAGGAACTCCAGGAAATCATGAATAGCCAGGATGTGTCACAAGACAGAGCAAGAATGCAACACCTGAATAAGCAGATTGACGAGCTTTGGACACAAGAAGAGATGTATTGGGGGATGAGATCTTGAATCAATTGGCTAAAATGGGGAGATAAAAATACCCAGTACTTTCATGCAACGACAGTTCAAAGGAGGCAAAGAAATAAAATTACTATGTTGCAGATTGCTGATAACGTATGGACTCGAGATCCCACTCAACTTAAAGAATCAACAGTGGAATTTTTTCAGTCTCTATATACCACAGTGGGGTCTAGAAATTTTCAGCCAATCTTAGACCAATGCCCCAGCTTGGTAATGGAAGAAATGAACCAAAAACTGACAGAAGCTGTGACGATGAAGGAAGCTAAAGAAGTGGTTTTCCAATTGGGGGCTATGAAAGCTCCTGGACCAGATGGAATGAATGGCCAGTTTTATCAGCATCATTGGGAAGATCTCCAACAGGATGTGTTCAACATGGTAAAGAATTTCTTCGAAACAAGCATCCTTGACCCAACCCTCAACAAGACGCATATTTCTCTCATTCCTAAAGTCCGGAATCCGGAGAGGTTAGACCAATTTCGACCTATCAGTTTGTGTAATTTTGCGTATAAGATGATTTCTAAGGTAATGACAAATCGCCTAAAACCTTCGTTACCAGAGTTAATTGCCATAGAACAAAGTGCCTTTGTGAGTGGTAGACAGATCCAAGACAATATTCTGGTTGTTCAAAAAGTTATTCATCAGCTAAGAATTAGAAAGAGGAAGAAGAAGTTTCATGCCATACTGAAGCTGGATATGCAGAAGGTGTATGACAGGGTGGAATAGGATTTCCTGAAAGCTTGCATGTTAAAGATGGGTTTCGGTAATAAATGGGTATCCTGGGTCATGCAATGTGTCAAATCAGTATCTTTCAGTATAAAATTTAACGGGGAACCCCTTCCCTATTTTAGACCATCAAGAGGATTAAGGCAAGGTGACCCTCTTTCCCCATATTTGTTTATTTTGATGGCAAATGTTTTATCCTTTCTAATTAGGACAACAGTTGAAGATGAGAGCTTTAGAGGAATTAAACTGAATAGGCACTGTCCAACTTTAACCCATCTACTGTTTGCTGATGAATCTATTTTCTTTGTGGATGGAAAGATAACAAAATGCCAAAATTTAGCTGCTGTTCTTCATCAGTATTGCTTTGCAACGAGTCAAGCCATAAATTTGAATAAATCAAGGATTCATTTTAGCGCTGGCTGCCCGCACAATTTGAGAACTAATATGGCACAGGAATTAAGGGTTCCTGAAATAGATAAAATAGGGAAATATCCGGGTATCCCTTCGGATTGGGGTCAAACTAAAAAGCAAATGTTTGCACGGAGATTGGCTAGAGTAAATATGAAGATGGAAGGATGGAAAGAGAACCTAATGTCAAAAGCGGGGAAGGAAATCTTAATCAAAGCAGTGGTGCAGGCTATTCCACAATATGCTATGTCTATATTTAAAATTCCAGTTTCCATATGCAGAGCTATAGAGAGAAAAATTGTTGCTTCCTGGTGGAAAAATAACGAGTCCAAATCGGGATTGCATTGGAGGAAATGGGATCTATTGAAGCAAAGGAAGGACAATGGAGGGCTTGGATTCAGGTATTTACTCACATTCAACAAAGCTATGCTAGGCAAGCAAGCTTGGAGAATTGCACAATCTTCAACGGCCCTCTGGTGCAAGATACTAAAAGGAATTTATTTCCCACATACAGATTTTTGGCATGCAGGAAAGGGATCAAGACCATCTTGGGGATGGAAGAGCCTAATAATGGGGAGAGAGGCTATATCTAATGAAGTGATGTGGTCAGTGGGAAACGGAAAACAAATCAGAATTATAGAGGATAAATGGATGAAAAAAGGCATAATTAGGGGACCAGCAAATTGGAATGAACCACAGATAGTTGCAGAGTTAATCAATTCAGAGAATTCGCAATGGAAAGATCAAACTCTGCGTCAATTATTTGATGATCAAACAGTGGCTAAGATTCTTACTACCCCCTTGAGAGGGGGTGATATAGCAGACAAACTGGTTTGGACAGGCACTCGAATTGGAAATTATTCGGTGAAAAGTGGCTATAACTGTCTCAAAGCTACAGAGTCCAAATTGGATGTAAACCAAGCCTCGTCGTCTTACCAAGTTCCCAAAGCACTCTGGAAGATGATATGGTCTTTGAAAACCTACCCCAAGATCCGAATTTTCATGTGGAGTGTATGTCAAAATGCACTCCCTACCAGCGAGAATCTATTCAAAGCGAAGAATCTTACCGGAGCCACTTTGTCCACTGTGTCGTAGTGCACCAGAAACCATAGAACACCTTCTCATCCTATGTCCCTGGACGAGCAATGTTTGGTCGGACCCTACAATAGGCATTCAAATTTCTCATCTTGGACTAAACAGAATTGAGGAATGGCTTCTCAAATTTAAAAGTCTCACCTCAAATTCTCTATCTTTTGAGCTTATGGCCATCACTCTTTGGAATATTTGGATATCAAGAAATCAAGCAGTCTTCAAGAAAAAAACCAGAGGCGAAGATGACTGTGGAATCCACTCTGGCCATGCATGAAAGCTTCAAGAAATGGAACTCAAAAGCTGAAATTTGTAAGAATTTCCTAATGTTGGCTTCATTAATTGAAATTAACTGAATTAGTTTGGTCTAATAAATGTAAGATATATGGGTTCTTAATAAATCTAATATTGGGCTGGCTGGTGTGGGCCGAGTACGGCCCGGCCCGTAATGAGAGGGCCCGTGGTCGAATACTCTATAAATAGCGCTCAAGTCTCTCCCCTAACCTGATGATGCACAATCTGACTCACATACGGATCTAGAGAGGAATTTCTTCTCGTGAGTGGCAATCTCATTAGGCCAGTGTTCTAACGAAGGGTATAGGGGAGAAGCACTTGAGTTCATGTTCGGAAACCGTCGCAAATTCCGCGTCAAGTTCGATGGATTCCAAACCAGGTACGCGAATCGATAATTTCTCCATTAACGTGTTTCGGTTTCTGATTATGGTGATCCTGGGAGTGCCATTTTCGTGGCTAACATGTGGTATCAGAGCCTGCCATAGATTAGAACTGAAACATGTGGATTAGGACCGTTTTCGTTATGTCCGAGAGGTTTTTACCCATTTTCGGAATTTTTTGTTGGATGAATGTAAAATTTTATTACATATTCGGAATCTACTTATCGAGACGAGAAGATTGACGGGCGGCACGTCACCGGAAGATGCCGTACGCGCCCTCATGCGCCGACACGCGCCGTGGGCACGGCGGCGCATGACGGCCACGCGCGGCCGTGCCGAACCGGCGCGTTTTCCGCCGGTAACCGTCGGATGACATCAGCAGGAGCGCGGATCCGGTTGACTCGGATCCTGACCCGACCCGAATTTAGACCCGACCGTTGACCTGACCCGACAGTTTACCCGACCCGACCATCGACCCGACCGGTCAACCGGTCGGACCAGTTCGTTGATCGTTGACCGGTTGGACCGGTCAACCGGCTGTTCATATCGGTTTAACCAGCTGAACACGCGCGCACGCGCTACGCCTTCCGGCGGCGCGTGAGGGCGCGTCTGGTGTCCGTTTGGGACGTTCTTGGTACCGACGCGCTCGTATCGAGACTCTTTACATTGTGGTGTATTTATTTTACATGTTTGAAGCTTTTACATATGTGAAAATACGTATAGAACCCTATATACGCGTATTTTTAGGATATTTTTGCGTATTTTCTTGTATTTCTCTATGGTTTCGGAAATGCATATGGTAGCTCACATGTATATCACCACATAAGGACTGTGTAGAGTGTAATTCATTGTCTATCAATGAATGGAACAATATAATTAGCATGACATGTAATTTCAGAGATATACGCCCCTGTCTTTACGTCTAGCATTACATGTATATAGTGAATGTGATACATAAAGCTCATATCCCTGGTATGAGAGATTTTCAAGGATTCAGTTGGGTAGTGACCGACAAAGTGGCACACTTGACTGGGTTTGAGAAATATCGGTCTCATATTGTGGTGGGATGTCTCCTGTTCTATCGCGTGATCATACTCCCAAAGGAGGTGATCTTGTATTGGTTCATGGAAGGGTACATGTATAGCATGTGCTTGAGAAATGACTGATCTTAGTGGTTCATACACCAAAAGGTGGTGATTTTATGAAAGATTAGAATATGTTTTCATGGCCGCTGTCATGTGGAGAGCGTACAACTGCATGTCATATTTTTTGCCCAAAGGTGATTATGTGATGATGTATGTAACTCTCTGGATAAGTACTCACATGATGCTGATTGTATTGTTTGTTTGTTTTCCAGTCACCTTTTCTGTAAACGGCAATTCCATTTCTATTGAGGTGCTTACTGGGTTGAACTTTAAGAAATGGAAAGAGGATTTTCTATTTGGAATGGAGCTGGCGGATGTTCACATTGCTCTTACAAAGGATAAGCCGGCAGATATCATGGCCACCAGTACTAAAGCTGAGAAAACAGACTATGCTGCTTGGGAAAAGAGCAATCGGATTTGCTTACTGACAATGAAGAAATCCATTCAAGAACACTTGAAAAGTGATTTGCCAGCTGACTGTACTGCTAAAGAAATGACGGCAGCCTTAGAGGCTAGAAACCGCATTTCATCTAATGCCGAGGTTGGTACACTTCTTCAAAAGCTCTTCAATATGAAGTATGATGGTACTGCTGGGGTCAGAGATTATGTCCTTAGGATGGTAGACCTAAAGACGAAGCTTCAAGCTCTTAATGTTTCCATTCCTGATGCTTGCATTGTGCATCAAGCCCTGAACACCCTTCCACCTGATTTTGGGATTATAAAGACAAATTACAATTCCCAAGATGAGCTTGGTCAAATAATAACTTGATAGCAAGGGTGGTGGCAGAGGAAAATAAACTTAAGAAGGAAAAAGGGCATCTAGCCTTATATGTTTCTGGTTCCCACAAAAGGAAGGATAAGAAGTCCAGAAATCGTACTCATAAAGGTACTCATGACACTACCGGTCAATCTGACAATATGGGTCCAAAGAAAACATCTTTCAAAAGGGATTGTGACCGTTGCTTCTTTTGTAAGAAGAAAGATCACATAAAGAAAGACTGTGGAAAGTTCAAAACTTGGTTGTCCAAACGTGAGCCTACAGGTAATGATTCTTTGGCACTTGTTTGTGAATCCAACCTATCAGAAGCACCATCCAGTTCTTGGTGGCTCGATAGCGGTGCAACTAATCATGTTGCATTTACCATATAGGGATTCATAAACCGGAGGAAGCCAAATCAGGATGAGTCAAGATTCACTGTAGGAAATAACGAGAAAGCTGATGTTGTGTTTGTGGGAGATGTAATCTTGATTCTAGACTCTGGTTTTAGATTAATGTTGAAAGACACTTTTTATTTACCTTCTTTTAGACGGAACTTAGTTTCCGTATCGTGTTTGGACATGTATGGCTATTCTTTTGAAATCAAGAATAATGTTATTTCTTTGTTTCTTAATTCAAATAAGGTTGGGTGCTGTAATATGTCCAATGGATTGTACAGATTGTGTTTGTCTCCCAATGATATATACGTCGCTTATACAGCTAAAAAGGTTGTTTCCAAGAGACCACTACCTAAAAAACAGTCTTATGCATTGTGGCATAAACGGCTTGGTCATATCTCTAAGGATAGAGTAGAAAGGCTGATAAAGACTAACATCCTGCCTGCTCTTAGAGATGACCTAGAGACATGCGTAGACTGTTGTAGAGGTAAAATGACCAAGATAAGGAAGAAAACTGCAGTCCGAAGTTCTGACCTGTTGGAGGTCATTCACACTGACATAAGTGGACCCTATACGGCAACCTTGTGTAGAAATTTTTATTTCATCACATTTATTGATGACTATTCTCGATATAGCTATCTGTACTTGATTATAGAAAAGTCTAAGTCTCTTGATAAATTCAAGATTTTTCGGACTGAAGTCGAGAAACAGTTGGGAAATGTCATAAAGGTTGTTAGATCTGACCGAGGTGGAGAGTATTATGGCAAGCATGGCGATGACGGACAGCTTAAGGGGCCATTTGCCAAATACTTAGAGGATTCTGGGATAGTGGCTCAGTTTACTATGCTTGGGAGTCCTGAGCAAAATGATGTAGCCGAAAGGCGTAATCGCACCCTTATGGAAATGGTGAGGAGTATGATTAGTAGGACAAATTTACCTGGTTTTCTGTGGGGTGAAGCTTTGAAAATAGCTTTGTACATTCTGAATCGTGTACCTACTAAAGCTGTTCCATTGACTCCTTTTGAGTTATGGACTGGAGGTAAGTCTAGCTTAAACGATCTTAAGGTTTGGGGATGTCCTGCAGAAGTGAAGTTATATAATCCAACATTAAGTAAGTTGGACTCCAGAACCATTCGGTGTTACTTTGTATCTTACCCGGAACATTCGAAGGGATATCGGTTCTATAATCCCAATGGAGGCACAAGAATTGTGGAATCACAGACAGCGAAGTTTCTGGAGTTTGATGTGGCCAAAGAAAGTAGCTGCTCACAGACTATTGAGGATAATAGTACCGTGGGTAATGTTGTATCTTTATCTCCTCCCATACAGATAATTGTGGAGACTCCCACACCACAGACTGAACCTGTTGAGGCTCAGGATCCTATTGTTGAGATAGCTCCTAATGAAGTTTCTCAAGGCTCTCAGGTGCATGATGAGGCTGTTGCTGCTCCAGTAAGGAGATCCATTAGGGAGAGACAATCAGCTATACCACCGGACTATTTAGTTTATATAGGAGAGCAAGACTACGATATCGGTTCTGTGGCTGATCTAGTGACTTATGTGAAAGCTGTTTTTTATCCTCAGTCGGAACTGTGGTTGGATGCAATGAGAGATGAAATACAGTCTATGAAGCATAATGGTGTTTGGGAACTTATTGAATTACCTGAAGGTCATAGACCCATTGGCTGCAAATGGGTGTATAAGACTAAAAGGGACTCCAAAGGAAAGATTGAGAAGTTTAAAGCCAGACTGGTAGCCAAGGGTTTCACTTAGAGAGAAGGAGTAGACTATGAAGCAACTTTTTCTCGAGTCTCTTCTAAAGATTCTTTCATAGTGATCATGGCATTGGTAGCTCATTTCGATATGGAGTTACACCAGATAGATGTTAAAACTGCCTTTCTCAATGGAAACCTTAATGAAGAAGTCTATATGATGCAACCCGAAGGTTTTACGGCAGATGATTCAGGTACGCTTGTATGTAAACTGAAAAAGTCTATTTATGGTCTCAAGCAAGCTTCTAGACAATGGTACTTGAAGTTTCATAGTGTTGTCGCTTCATTTGATTTTATTGAGAACAAAGTAGATCAGTGTATATACTGCAAGGTTAGTGGGAGGAAATTCATTTTCGTTATACTCTATGTGGATGATATCCTGCTTGCGAGCAGTGACCTTGGTTTACTGCATGAGACAAAGCGGATGTTGTCAAAGAACTTTGATATGAAGGACTTTGGTGAGGCGTCTTTTGTCCTTGGCATTGAGATTCATAGGAATCGTTCTCGTCGACTATTGGGTTTATCTCAGAGGGCATATGTTGATCGTATCTTAGAAAGATTCAACATGCAGCAATGCAAGCCAGGAATTGCTCCTGTCACTAAGGGTGATAAGTTGAGTCTGTCACAATGTCCTCATTCAGATTTTAAGAAAGCCAAAATGAAGAATGTACCTTATGCTAGTGCACTTGGGAGTATTATGTATGCTCAAGTATGTACTAGACCAGATATTGCTTTTGCAACAGGACTTCTAGGCAGATATCAGTCAAATCCAGGACAAGATTATTGGGTTGCTGCCAAGAAGGTTTTGAGGTACTTAAAGAGGACAAAAGACTATATGCTGATTTACAAACATGTTCAAGACCTACAGCTAGTCGGGTATTTGGATTCAGACTTTGCTGGCTGTCAGGATGAAAAGAAGTCGACAACGGGTTACATCTTTAAGTTAGCAGGAGGTGCAGTATCATGGAAAAGTGAGAAACAGAAATCAATGACATCCTCTACCATGCAAGCGGAGTTTGTAGCATGCTTTTCGGCCGCTACTCAGGCAATTTGGCTTCGGAACCTCATTAAGGAGTTGACCGTATTTGATTTTGTGGATAGGCCCATACAGTTGTATTGTGACAATAATTCTGCAGTGTTGTTTGTTAACAACAATAGAGGTCTCAAGGGGTCTAAGCATATAGAGGTCAAATACCTGACTATAAAGGAAAAAGTTTAGACTGGTGACACTGCACTAGAGCACATTTCAACAGATGATATGATTGCAGATCCGCTAACTAAAGGCCTTCGCCCTTGTGTATCTGATCGACATGTCATGAACATGGGCTTAGGAGTATCATGGGATACTGTTAATTAGTGGGAGCTATTTAGTTTTATGTTGCTCTTATGAAGTTTGTATTTGATTTTGTTACATTTTGTAATATTTAAATACGTATCAACTCTTTTGCATTCAATGAGGTATTTGTGAATGTAGATTTATCAAGTTGAGTACACATATTTGATGAAAATCTCGAGGCATTGTGTAAACCTTGAGTACAGGCTATGGGGCATTATTGGTATTAGCCTTAACGATATGTCTTGTTACACATAAAGTATAGTTAACTATCAAGGTAAGGCATATGCATGTTCGTTGAAACCATAAAGGATATTCTCTTGTGACACACTAGGTTTTGTGACACTTAAGGAGAGAATTTGGACTAACAAAATGGACAACACATGAAGTATCACTCATTATGAGGTATTGTCCATTTGACACACTACCATATTGAATCCATATCAGTAAAATTAAAAGCACTCGTGACCATGGAAGGCTCTGCGTGAGTACATGCAGTTACCGCCATGATTCGGTGTTCGAGACTTTATGGGATCGGATTGACTATTAAGAATAATCTCTAGACCAATATAAGGGTGTGCACACAGTTCTGTTTCAATTAATATCGCCCAAGTGGGAGAATGTAAGAATTTCCTAATGTGAGCTTCATTAATTGAAATTAATTGAATTAGTTTGGTCTAATAAATGTAAGATATATGGGTTCTTAATAATCTAATATGGGGCTGGCTGGTGTGGGCCGAGTACGGCCCGGCCCGTAATGAGAGGGCCCGTGGTCGAAAACTCTATAAATAGCGCTCAAGTCTCTCCCCTAACATGATGATGCACAATCTGACTCACATACGGATCTAGAGAGGAATTTCTTCTCGTGAGTGGCAATCTCATTAGGCCAGTGTTCTAACGAAGGGTATAAGGGAGAAGCACTTGAGTTCGTGTTTGGAAACCGTCGCAAATTCCGCGTCAAGTTCGATGGATTCCAAACCAGGTACGCGAATCGATAATTTCTCCATTAACGTGTTTCGATTTTTGATTATGGTGATCCTGGGCGTTCCATTTTCGTGGCCAACAAAATTCCCATTCAAAACCCAAAAACCTCACCTGCAATTTGGCAACCTCCAGAACGGGGATATCTCAAATGGAACTTCGATGGCTCATTCGTGGACGGGTCAACGGAGGGAGCGATTGCTAGCATCTGTTGAGATTCTTCGGGCAAGATCGTGGATGGTCTGGCTAAATTTGTTCGAGTAAGCTCGGCTTTGCAGGCGAAAACCCTAGGATGTTTGGAAACCCTCAAGTACATCATCTCACGATCTGAAGCTAAGAAAGTAAAGTACATCTTTGAGTTTGACAGTTTTAACTTGATAAACTTTTTGTCAGGTTCAGCTCAGCCTTCGTGGGAAGTTGCTCCTCTTATCATCGAATGTACAACTCTCTTGGCCCCAATTCCCAGAAGCACATTTAGCCCATTGTTGTAGAGAGGCGAACAAAGTTGCTGATTGGTTGGTAAAGGCCCAAAGATATAATGCTCTGCCTTGTAATTGGGCTTCTAGGCCTCCTCAAACCCTCTGGAACCTTGTTTGTTGGACGCTTCTTTAAGTTGTAATTGGGCCTGTCGGGAAAGTTTTATATATATATACTGGACACCGATAAGAGACAATAGAAGTGTGTGGGAATCGGTACAACGACGAAACGACATCCTTTCTGTGCTCAAACTTAGTTGCAATGATTTGCCGTGCCAAATGAAATGTGTTGTTTTGCATTTCTGTTCCATGTTTTCTAAAGATTACTGGCACACGGGCTATCTATCAAGTAATCTTTAAAGTTTAAAGCAAGTGGGGACTAATACGTCCATCAAATGGAAATCAAGCACCAGAAGAGGTTTGCAGAGATGATGTCAAAAAGAAGCTAAGGAGTTCGGTATGTCTCTCCTCTCCTATTCAAAATGCATGATCTGAATGAGAATTTTTTAAAGTTAGAACTTTTTAGGAAAACGCACCTCAAGGGAATCCGACACTAATTTAGAATTTTCTAAATTTATTAGTGGCACAAAGCAGGTATCCGACAGTAATTACATTCCATGAATTAGTTTCTCTCACCCCATGGTTTGAGTGAGAATTTTCTAAATTTAGAACTTTTTAGGAAGACACTTCTCAACTGTGTCTCAACTGTTGAACAACTCAAGGGTTGAGGTGTGCTCTACATTTTTCCGTCTTTTTTTTTTTTCCATTTTTGCTTTTGTTCTGTTTCCTCTTCTTCCCCCACCCCGACCCAGGCCACATAGATCTGCCACTCACCAGCGCCGCGTGTCCGCCCGACCATCGCCGCCATGATCCCTTGCCATCGCCCCTCCATCCGCCTTCAGACATCAGCCTCTCGTCCGTTGGAGTCATCACTGTGTTACCCAACACTACGCGTGAAGTTCGCAAGCCCCGGCCACAGAGGTCACCACCTCCTCCATCAATTTGCTTCAATGGAGGTCACCCAGCCTCGCGCGACCACATATCTGGATAGCGCAAGCCCGGCGACCTCCATGACCACAGTGGTGTGGCTCAATGACTCCATGACCTGCGTGATCTCTATGGCTGCGCTTGAGTTTCAGAGTGACAGAGAGAGACGTTTGTAGCAGTGCTCGGACGGGCGAAGAGGAAAAGCAATGACCATGGATATACTAATTGCTCACGTTGCCGTTTGGTAGCTCGAGTCCATGCAATTAATAAATCCAACTAAGCTCACTTTTCACGGGAAACTTAAACCAAGGAGTTACTAGTCAATTGGATATACTAATTGCTCCATCTCCCCTAAATTTCCGGATGACACCGCACTGCTGCAAATCTTAGGCCATTTACATATGTCAAAATTCATGAAATTCATTAAAATTGTATACCTTGACCCACCAGGTGCAATTACATAAAAGTATATAGATTTACAAAATTTTCCCGGAATTTTTATTATTCGGACTTTAAGGAATAATATGGGCAAAAGTACACTATAAGTGCCATAACTTGTGTACGGCGATCACTTTGGTGCCAACTTTTTTGAAAAACGATCACTTGAGTGCCAATGCTGACATGGCACGTTGGAAATATGATGTGGCTCTTTTTTATTAATATTCGATGCTGAGATGGCTGGCCGGAGCAAGCCGGAGAGTCCAGTCAGCCCTTATAGCGAAAACGACGTCGTTCAACCTTTCTCCCCCCAATATAGGAACCCTAAATCGGCTAATTGGACATATTCCCCAATTGCAAACCCTAACCGGCCATATTATTTCCTTGTTTTCCCCGAAATTGACAGCCAAAGGTTACAAATGGATGGCAGGAGCTTCACTAGCGGCTCAAATTCGTTTGAACGAAGTGAAGAAGAAGGTCGGTTCTTCTGCTATTGTGGATTACCGAGTCCAAGAAGAACATCTTAGACTCGATTGAACCCCGGGAGAAGATTCCATGGATGCGCCAGGTATAGAGAAGGCTCGAAGTGCAAATTCTTCAAGTGGGTTGATGCGAAATTTTCAGATCGAGCAACAGAGGTGATAGTGAAGCTACTTGAAGCTCGACATCAACCTCTACCTGCATTAATGGACGAGTTGGACGAGTTGGACGATGTCGACTCATTGCAAGCTGAAATGAAGGCTTTAGCATCTCTGGCCAACCATTTGAAGAAGAAAGTTCGAAGGATGAAAATCGAAAGAAAGTGTTATCGATTGTTGATTGTGTTATTGATATTTTTTATAGCCTATTTTATGGTCAAATGTAATGTCAGTTATGAGCAAAAGTTTCTTAGTCTACCATAATTTAATATAGGCTTGTACTATGTACGTGTATTTGGCAATTTGTAGCTACGGTTGTGTTATTAGTTTGCTGCAATTTATATATGTAACAAGAGGTTTGCTGCAATCTATGACAAATGGAAGGTTGGAACTTATTGGTTCTCAATGTTGAGTTGCTTAGTATTTTGTTGCTGCATATTTTGATGCAGTTTTGCCTCATTGGCAGCATATTTTGTTGCATATTTTTGCTCATTTGTTGTCTTTTGCTGCACTTCCTCATTTGCAGCATATCTTGCTGCATATTTTTGCTCATTTGCTGTCATTTGCTACACTTTCTCATTTGTAGCATATTTTACTGCATATTTTTGCTCATTTGCTATCATTGTTGCACTTCCTCATTGGCAGCATATTTTTGCTCATTTGCTGCACTTCCTCATTTGCTTCATATTTTTGCTCATTTGCTGCACTTGCTCATTTGTTGTATTTTTTTCATCTGGTTAGATGGTTGCATATTATGGAGTAAGGCTCACTACTGAAAAATGAGGTGCTACAAGTGCTGCAACTCTGCGTAGCAGCAAATTATGAAATCGTCACAAGTTCAGCAGTTGACATTTTAGTGCCAAATGTTTGTAATCGTGATCACTTAAGTGTCAGTCGTGGTTCAAAAGTGATCACTTAAGTTCTAGTCGTAGTTCAAAAGTGATCAATTAAGTTCTAGTCGTTGTTCAAAAGTAATCACTTAAGTGTCAATTGTGGTCGAAAGTTGATCACTTAAGTGTCATGCCGTGTGTTTCTTTGAAAAATGGAGACTTTGGTTCCAACAAACCAATCTTTAAACCAGATCATTCCAAAATCAAAGCAGTAACTGTACCAGCATTGCTCACCAGCACCAAACCGCCCCAAACCATACTCATAAACTGGTTCAAACAGCCCCCAAACCATATTCAATCACCAGCACCAAACACCCCCAAACCATATTGAAAAACCGGTTCAAAATGCTTGCACCAGCACGTGCTGGCGTGCTGGTGCAAGTACTATACTGCACTCCCAAATATGACAAAATCAGCAGCTACCATACTATACTCCCAAATAGTACAAAATCAGCAGCTAGTGCAAACACCATACTGCACTCCCTAACAGCACAAAATCAGCAGTTGGTGCAAGCACCATATTGTACCTGAAAATAGCACAAAAAATCAGCACTAGCAGCACCAATTCCCACCCTCCCCACCAACTGCATCAGTAAGTTTCTTTGAATATTAACTTACTGATGCAACTTGCAAGCACCCCACTACACCAGTACTATACTAAAATAGAACAAACACGTGTGCAAAAATATGAAAATTACAACCACCTTAACCACGGTAAACATCGAATTTAGTCATTACACACAACATCCCATTAGTCAATAACATTCCAGGACCACAAAAAATCAACCTCCTATTAGCCAATACGGTAAACCTTCCTAATTTCACAAAAAACTAACAATCACCTCAGCACCCTCCCATTAGTCAATAGTGATAAGTCCACCATTTCCTTTTCCTTTCGACGGCTTCTTGAATTGATTCATAATTCTTTGACTCTTTCGAACTGGAGGAACTGCAGGTTGTTCTTCTGAAGATACAGGTTCTTCAATAGCTGGAGCTGCTTCTTCTTGAACTGCTAGAGCTGCATCTTCTTCAACAACTGGAGCTGCTTCTTCTTGAACTGCTGGAGCTGCATCTTCTTCAACAACTGGAGCTGCTTCTTCTTGAACTGCTTGAGCTGCATCTTCTTTAACAGCTAGAGCTACTTCTTCTTGAACTGCTTCAGCTGCATCTTTTTCAACTGCTGGACCAGCAGGTTGTTCTACTGGCCTTCTTGCTCGAGATTTCTTCTTAGGCGCAGCAACTATCTTCTTCTTACTGGTGTTGGTGGCTGTTTTGGAGCTGTCAGCATGTGCTGGTTGATCAGGAACTAGTGTTGAGTTTTTTGTTGGTGGCAGTTTACGAACACTCTTCTCTGCAGCCACCCTTCTTCTCTTCGGACCAGCTGCTTGCGACGTTGGTTGGATTCTTTTTGGTGCAGCTCTTGACTCTTGGCTTGGGCCAACTTGAGATATGAGAACCTCTGAACTCCTCCCAGGCTACAACATAATCATGGATGAGAAGAAGCAATATTGTCATAAAAGTGAAAAACTCAAAAATGAAATGCATGAGATGTACAAAACTTACATGCAAAATAGTCATTCCAGTATTGAAGTCCGTATAAATTCCATAACCATATTGCCTTAATCTTCTGCCGAGGACCCCTCTTGTTTGATATGGTGCCTCACTTTGAGGAACCTGAGCTGCTTGTTCAGTTGGTTTTCTTCTCAACTAATAAGGACAAAACAATGTCAACTAAAGCCAAAGTCTGCTCACTAAAGATTAATACAAATACATATAGCTGGAGGGATATTTTCTCCTAGCCTGTGCAACAGTCGAGGAGGAGGTTGCCCTTGAACCTGGGCCTCCGGTTGGCTCTTCAGCTGGTTCTTGAACTTGGCCTTCAGCAGGCCCTTCAGCTAGACAATCAGCATGCCTATCAGCTGGCCCTCCAGCAGGCCTTTCAGCAGCCCCTTCAGCTGGTTCTTGTGCTGGCGCTGCACTTGATCCAATTTGAGTCCCTCCACTTGGCTGTTGAAGCAACTGATGTTGCTTCTTCAAATGACAACCACTTTTGTTGTGACCTACCTCACGACAATATGAGCATTTTATCTCTACACCTGACCTGCTCATCTTCTTACTTCTGGGCTCTCCCTCCTGCTTTCTTCGTCTCCTTTTAGGCCTTCCCATTTGTTTCTTAAGTGGCAAAGGATGAGGGGCTTCATGATTTGTCAGCTCCCAGAATTTTGTACTTCTAATAGGCTACATCATGTGCTGGTACGTAGCAAGATATGTGCTTTTGTGGTAGCAACCATGTAGGTAATCCTTGGGATTTTGGTACTTCGCTTGGATGGCACAAATGGCATGTGCGCAGGAAATTCCAGAAAGTTGCCAAGCTCAACATGAGCACTTTAGTTTGTCCAATTTAACAACATACTTGTCTGTCTTTTCCATGACCTCATAGCCATCATCTCCATTCCAGATAGGATGACAGAACCTACTACTCGCCAAGTTGTCATCCAATCTTTTAACAATCCTAGGACCACACTGTCCAGTCCACTTCGCAGCCTCATCTCTCTGTTTTTGCAGCCTTGTCATGACTATCACTCGAATATCCTCAAGCATGCTGATGATTGGTTTGCACTTCGCCTCTAAAATTCTGCCATTGAAGGCTTCACTGAGATTGTTATCAATGATATCGCTCTTGAATTCTTCACTGAAGAAGGCCTTGCACCAATGCATGGGTTCAGTTTGAAAAAGTGCTTCATAACCGTCCTTCGTCAAGTCAAGCAGCTGCTGTTTGTGAATTCTAAAATTAGCCATGTTGGTGCTCTTAGCTATCATCCAAAATTGCTTCTGTAGTTTCTCCCCTTTGTAGATCTTTGCCCAGTTTGCATATATGTGCCTCTCACACATCCTATGTTCAGTAAATGGCATCAACTCAGCTAGAGCAGGAAGAAGTCCCTACAAGAATTCATACATCAAGGCATTAATAAAGGCATGTGCAAGATAAAATGTCATAATTATTGTTTGTGCAGTTACACCAGCATTACCTTTTGTTGGTCGCTCATGAATGCCCAACCTCCTCCATTAGTGATCTCAAGGTCCGCCATCAAATTTTTCAGGAACCACGACCAAGTGTCCTTGCTCTCTACCTTCACAACAGCCCAAGCAATTAGAAACATCTGATTATTGCCATCCCTCCCAATGGCAGCCAACAATTCTCCCTTGCACACACACTTCAAGAAACATTCATCTAACCCTATGACTCGTCTACAACCAGCAACAAATCCCCGCTTGCATGCATCAAAGCAAATATAAATTCGGTCAAAGTTAGTCCCATGGTTAGGCAGTGGCCGCTCCACAACCTCAACATAAACTCGACTACCCGGGTTTTGCAGCCTACATTCTCCAGCATATTCCCAAATTTGACCATATTCTTCCTTGTACCTCTCTAGAATTTTTTTCATCACCTTATACTTGGCTCTTTTACACTGATTGAGTGACACGTTAATCCCTACCTGCTCCCTCACCAACTGCTTCAGCTGAGTACTCTTCACATCAGGCATCGCTTTGATGGTATCGAAGAAGTGTTTTGACAACCAAGCACTCGTTACCCTTTTGTTGTCAAACATGATGGAACAAGTATGTTCCTCCTGTAATGACCTAATTTGGAATGACCCGTCCCTCTTTGAACGTGCGCCATATATCTTCCACGAACAACTAGGTTGAGAACACTTTGCTCTAACATAGTCTTGCGTATTTCGAGTGAACTGAAGAGTCCTCTGTTCAACTATTGAATACTTGATAATCCCTTCTTTGAATTGTTTGGCATCAGAAAATTTCAGACCTACAGTCAACACAAAAGAAGAAGAGCCAGGATCGTATAACGGATACTTACGTTTCCTTCTGCACACAACGGGATCATCATCTTCATGCTGATTTTCAGAATTATCATTATGTTCATCAGAGCCACTTTCTTCATGATCAGTGTCATTACCTTCAGCTGGAGCTCCATCAATGCTATGTCCTGGTTCAGCTTCATGCAATCCTCCAAGTGCAGTTATTGATTTTTTTCCAAATTCCCTTTGCTTTTGCCTTGACTGTGCAAGTTCCTCATCGTCATCTTCACTTGGTAAATTTACATTTGTTACACCCTCATCATCTGATTCACTAGATGCAGCAACTTCCCACGACAATCCAGTGAACTCTTCACTCGCTGCATGGCTTGCCTCCCTCTCATCCCTCTCATGTCCAGCTTCATCTATAATAGAACTAGCACCAACCTGAGTACTAGGTAAAGCAGCACCATCACCTACGTCTCCTCCCTCAACCCCTTCATCAGATTCACCATCACTATAGGACTCAACGTACACAACAGCTTCTTTTCCATGAAGATAATGGGAGATGATATCCTTAACACCATTATCATCATCAAAGTTTCTAATACCGTCCTTCAAGCTGCTTCCAGGAACACAATAATGCAAACGTCCTATTTTACATCTTAATTGTTGAACTATATCCCTCATGAGATTAATATATGCTGGCTTGCTTCTATCGAAATAAACAGTACCTTCAAGTCCCCCAAATTATTCCCACTCGTCAGTGCCGATGACAAATTCTCCTCCATAGCGAACAATGATGCCGATAATTGTGTCTTTATCCCCCATATCGACCCTGCATTGAAGGAAAAAAGCCAAAAAATTCAATATTTTAGCTTTCGGGACCACACCACATAGGAAAAAGAGCACAGTTTCACATGAAGGTCCCCCACATGGTCGACAAGATTGAAAAAGCCACCATCAGACCACATGGGTGACAATGACAGAGGTCCCCACATGGACCACAGTCTATCGCATATACTCAGCCCGACACCAACACAATCGAATCCACTTCAAGCCCTAATGTCCGAACAACGAGCCATAATTTATGAAGTTCAAGCTTTAATTTCAGAAGTTCAAGACCTAATTTCAAGTTCGAGCCCCAATTTCCCAAGTTCGAGCCCTAATTTCCTACTTCAAACCCTAATTTCCCGAAGGCAGCCCTAATCTACCAATTAATTGAGTGAAACATAGGACAATGAAGCACAATGTGTCGATCAATTCAGCAAAATAGAAATTAACAGCCCTTATTTGAAGACCGACCTTCGTAATTTGCCATGGAGACGGGACCGACGCCGACGGGACGAGTGATGCTCAGTCCACGGGATGAGGAAGCGACGCCGACCGACCGCGAGGGGAAGGCAAGAGACGGCAATGGCGACGGTGACGGCGACGAAATGAGGGCGCCACGAGCGATGAGCGACGGGCGACGGCGACTGGACGAGGGAGACAAAGCAGGTGTGACAAGCGACGTGATGCTAAGACCTTTGAACTGAGCGACGTCGTTTGCTGTCCTAAATGGAACAACGTCGTCCTTCTTGTCCAAGTGGACTGAGCGACGTCGTTTTGCTCGTCCACGTGGACATCAAATGTTGACCCCAATATCCACGTCACACTTTTTTTAAAAATAAAAATGCCAGGTCAGCTTTTTGGCCGGAATTTTGGCCGGAGTCACTAAAATGATCTATTTTCCTCCGACTTGACACCAAAGTAATCCGAAAAAAAGTTATGGCACCAAAGTGATCGCCGTACACAAGTTATGGCACTTATAGTGTACTTTTGCGGAATAACATGCTAGTTTGGCATCGACCTTTGCCTTAAGTGCAAACTTGAAAGTGGGCTAGTCAGTATGTGAGTTAATGTTATTTATGGGTTGGTTTCTTAATGATAGTAAAATGTGAGTTATGTTGCTTAATAGCTTTTTTGTAAACTATATAATTTGAATTTTTAACTTAAAAGGAATACATGATTCAAAATGTAATAATGTCCCGGATATACTTTATGGTTTTTGTATTGAACAAAAAACCGTCAATTTACCTTTATTCGAAAACGAAAGAGAACTCGACAAATAAGAAATATCTGATTTTGAATTGGGTCCGAATAATGCAGTGCAAGTGGATGAAACGGGATTCCTCATCGATCCATCCAACCGAACAAGATCCTGATCAAAAGATTTTTACGGTTTTGAATGTAAGTGTATTCAGCTTGATCATTTTAAGTTTCCGATATGTCAATGTGGCTGTCATGTTGTGGCTAGGACATTATTATTATTTATACATGCAAAAAGAATTTTTCCATGTTTCAATCGTCGCTAGTAGTGCCTAATGCATGACTTTTTTTCCCCCATCCCATAACGGATGTGACGAGCGAACAATTCGGTTCCAATATACATTGACACAATCGCATCAAAACAAGTAGTGGAGAGAATTGATGGGGATCACTTTCAAAAACTGAGGTTCTAACATGGTTCTTATATGGAAACTTTTCTCACTTTGTAAACCAGCAACAAGGGATAAGGACATAGCTGTCTATCAACAGCTTGACCAGGGGCGATGACGAGACCCAAGCGATGGACGGTTTTAGAGACTCCAACACTAAGTGCATAAAGCCGAGATTTCCACTTGCCTCACCTTGAGATGATAGCATCCTTGTCGCAACTACCAGCATCACCTCGAGAACTTTGGTCTGATCTTTAAGCTGTCGAAAGAGCCAGAAAATGTCGCTCTAAGCAACCATTAAAGAGGGTTAAGTTTGTCATGCGATGCGGAAAGTAGATGACATAAGGCTCCGTTCGTTTGGCGAAAAATATTCTCTTTTTGGAAAATATTTTCCCGGAAGTCATTTTCCTGGAAAATGTTTTCCTGGAACATAATTTTCCGGTGTTCGGCGACCAATATGAAAAAGTTTCGGAAAATATTTTTCACCGGCGGCGCGGCGGCGGCGGCCGGCGACCGGCGGCGGCGGCGGCGGCGGCCACGCGACCGGCGGCGGCCGACGACCGGCTGCTGGCGGCGGGCGGCCAGCGACCGGCGATCAACTTCCTCTCCCACGGAAAATATTTTCCCTCCCATGGGCAATTTTGCCTTCATTCGGGGAAAATGATTTCCTCTTTGTGAAAAGTGGAAATCATTTTCCTCAAAACAATGAAGGATTTGGGGGTGGGGAAGGAAAATGTTTTCCCACGGAAAACATTTTCCGCCCCCGAACACCGGAAAACGCGGAAAATATTTTTCGGAAAAATATTTTTCCGCAAACGAACACAGGCAGTTGTTTATTTCCATGAAAGTACAAAAAACTCCCGCCAATACTACAATTTTAAAATGAGTCAGTAACTCGATTCTCAGTCACCATATCAGACTTTCTCTTACTGTAAAATGACGTAGAATCATCTCGTGGTCACAGAAAAAGTGTAACATAAGCTGATGAGTGCAACCTATATAGTCTTGACTAACCAGCTCAACGGCGGAGGCAAGCTCCTCCACGGCTTGTTGGAATGGAAAATTAGTTGGTGCAGCAACCTCCCCCCGATCAAATTCCAAGTCCTCAAGAAAATTAGGATCAAGCGCTCTTCCCTCCCATGTGAATAAATCCTGAAGCAACTTGACATCTTCAGCATCCATGCTCTCCCTTGGCTACAGATGTTGAATGTGAGAGGGTGAAATAGATTGATCAATTGATTTTTATGAGAAAGTAGTGTATACCTTAAACCTTTTCCATAACTTTGTCACGTGATTCATCTTCAGATGGGAAGGATGTTCCGAGTGTCTTCGCATGTTTATCTCTGGTACAGTGGACACGCGGCGATGCTTTTATATGCTTTGCCCTGGACAAATGATAGAGAAATGGGAATAAAAAAGCACACGCAGCATCCACACACCCGCACGGCACTCATCATCTGAGACAGGATACGTGGTTGAAGAATCAGTACTCACGGTGTAAATTTTATAACTTGTAGATATTGCATTTATGCGTCTGTTTCAACTAGTAGAATGAAAAAGAATATCATCTACTCATGGAAAGATTGCTTCTGGTAGATGTACCTCGGAACTCATAAATGACTTTTCTTATTTTACTTGTCTCCTCTGCATGCCTTTTACACAGATAGAGAAAGCTAGAACTTCCTGATTTTAAGACCTTTTCTTTTTCTCTTTGTATTCCTAAAGAACATGTCCATCAGAATAAGAACATACCCTGCCCTATATGAGTTTCACTTCAAATTTTCATACCTGGCACCAAACCTGAGGGTTGACAGAGTTTCTGACGCATTTGAAGGGCTGGGTGAACAACAACATAGTAATGCCATGTGAGAGTTCCCTCCCTGTGAGACGAACTTACTATTTATGTTTTGAATACATGCTAGCAGGATAATAGAAGGGCTAATGTGGGGCAGTCTCACCAGAGAATCTTTCAAAATCCGAGTAAGTTTGGAGTTGCGATACGGAATATGATTTCCTTTCACGTTTGGACCACATGTCAAGGCCTGTACCACATTTCCAAGTGCTGACAGGGACTTATTGATGGTTTTAGCTTCTTCAAGAACCCTGCCCTCTGCTCCTGTTTTCTCAACTTTCTCAGAGCCAGCCAGGTCCACGAGAATCAGTTTTCCAAATGTTCTGGCCACGCTCAGGACACGAAATTCTATATGAGAGAGGAAAAAATTACCAAGAAATTGTAATCGCATAAGAGACCAACCGTACCTCGTCTGTTTGGTTGATTCTTGGTGCACTGAGAATATGTAAATACAATGGCTATTGGTGCTGCCCGCATTCATTTCTGTTTCAGCTTAAGTTTGAAACTGTATGCATAATTAGGGAAGGTGGCAGATATTTTAAAAGAAAATACTGATATGGCTATGCTAGCAGAAGAACAAGTACAAGCCAAAACGGAAAGGAGAAAGGATACGGGTGTCTCCAACTGCTCTGTTGCATATACCACTCTGGAGTTCAGAGGATGGAACTAAAAGATCAACCAAGGGAAGATTGAAATACAGTCAAATAAAAAGGAGCTTGTATCTTACAGATAAGCTTTGTAATGCTTCAGCAATGTCTGATAGAGATATCTGGAGGGAAGGGAGAAAACATTAAGGGGGTCTCACAGAAAGAAAGCATAAGATGATATGTAAGTATAGGGGGTTTAAACTCAATATGCTGTCCAGTTTTGCGTATACAACAAAGGATAGGTTAATTTATGTTAGTCGAGCAGCAAATCAGTTTCTAGTTGTTCCACTTGTGGTATTGTCGGAAGACCATTTGAGTCTAAAGAGCAAAATAACATCTTTTTCTCAGAAACATTTTGTGAATGTGTGTGAGGGGCATAAGCATCTTAAGATGCATGCTTCTGCAGGCTCACTGCACATAAATATCACCTCCGTAACTACAGGTAACAATATCCCGTGTGATTTGGTCTCTTTAATTTGTATGCGGTACTTTGAAAGATCCAAAAGGTCCCTGGAAGAAGGAAAATAAATGATGTCCGTGAGGTTTTATTTATAAAACTTCCCGGGATTATTGGATGAGAGCCATTATCTCAACATGAATGTCTTCAAATGCAGACATGGTAATCTATACCTTACTTTCTCCATGTAGATCTCTACCTGAAAAAGTTGGAAAACGTTAAAAATAGAGCATTATATCGATAATTAAGTGAAGCACCAGGTAGCAGCTTGCGTAGGCGCACCATGGACAATTTGATTGTATACTTCATTGAATCAGCAGAAGTGATTTCTCTGAAAATTCCATCAACCACTGTTGCAAGGAGACCTTTCTTGGCATCATCACATTCGAGGATGCTTGGTCCCTGATCATAATAATTGTTACTGAACTGGTATATATCAATGGCCATCTACTAACGCTATTCTGGGGGTGGACTGGTCACCTCTATACTATATGTCTTTCCAGCTCCAGTCTGCTCAAGAAAAAATAGAGCTTCTTGTTAGAAAATAGAAAAAGATCACTATAATTTATTTAACATATCAAGAAGATTAAGTTATGCAAAGTATCATATATGCAGTCCTAGTTCTGCAACGACTTGAACTATGATTGTAACATCTAGTTAGAACAAGCAGAGGGAATTCCTCTACACGGAGATCCGACGCAAAATGTCAAACTGGAAAAAACTTTGAAAGAATTCCGAACCGAATATCTTGGAATAGAACAAACAACATTGGGCAACTTCAGATCCGCACACCCTTTTCAACTTGATCAAGTAAAAGAGGTTGTTCGAGACCTACTATGGCACTTATCATAGGATCACATCTACTCCATCCATTTGTAAAGCACCTATTAGCATTCTCTCCTCCACATTTAAACATGCATGCATCTAATCACGCCACTCTATCTCATAACAGATCTACTTTGTTCGAGCGAAACATCAAGGTAAAGAGTTAAGGAATCAATTAGACAACAGAAACCACGCATTGTTTGTCGCAGCATAGTGTCTCACCTGTCCATACGTAATGATCGTCCCATTTATTGCTTTTACCACATCTGTTACATTTAAGAGCAACGCATAAAAACTAAAATATCAATACACCTGGAAGTAAACTCGATAGTGCATGCTGTGTACACCTACTAACAGAAGAAAGCAGTGGATTTGGATGAAAATAATCGATTTATCTCGATCATCAATTAAAGGACGAGAAAGTAGCAGGATTCGCATGAAAATAGTTGATTGATCTCATGTACTGAATAAGGATTAGGAAAATGCGCATGTCGACACAAGCACCTAACGCTGTGATCAATGATTCTCGTTCTATGGACCGAATAAACTTCACATCCAGAAATGAATACAAACGAGTAGACATCATGTTAGACATCACAATGCAGCGGCGATGCTAGATATACCTCGAACAACAGGACGAGCCAGAAACGAATAGACATCATCTTGCTTGGAGTCGTCGTAGAACACCTTATCGAAGCCGAACTTCAGCTCTCCTTCCTTTTCATCCTAACAGCCATCGACATCGAGATCACCACAGCTTGATCAATCAAAACCGGCGCGAATCTCAGCCAATACGAGACGAGAGAATTCACAAGATCTCACTCGAAAGTACAGATTCCACAACTCAGATGCAATCAACGAGAATAGCCTAATCAACCGCAACTACCGTCTCTTCCAGTACGCACACAACCTCATCGGACCGAACTTTCCCCGAGTATAACTGCAGAAGTAGGAAAGAGAGGTTCGTCGAAGCACCTTGAGATTGAAGGCCTCGTCGTCGATCCGCTCAATGCAGACGGAATCGCCGCCATGATCGCGCCTCTCTCTCGAGCTCAGAGGCCTGAACCGCGCGCAGACGGTGATGTTGGCCATGCCCTCAGCGCTCGCGCCGCCGCGGAGAACGCCGGATCGAGCCGAGAAATTCAACGAGCGACTGCGAAAACGCAGGAGGAAATCCTGAAAGATCGAAGGGAAGAAAAGCGAGCGAGAAGAAGGAGGAGATTTTTGATACTGAGGAAGAGAGAGAAATTTGAAATGTTTGGGTCAGAGTGTGAGGAGAGAGAAGCTCCCTCCCCTTTTTATAGCGACGGAAAATGGAGGGAAAAAGAGGAAGTGCACAGGGGCAATTTTTTCGATTTTCTTTTATTTTTTTAAAGACACGACGACACTTTCTTTTCCAATCAAATATTGGAAATGGGAAAAAGATTATCTTAGATTCCAAAAACAAATCAAAAGTAATGGTAATGGTAAGTACTTTAATATATTTCCTAAAAGCTTATATAAACTCCAAAAATTCATGAAAAAAATGGTAAATTTTCAAAAAAGAATTTCTCTAAGTACTCGAAAATTGATGATGTGCACGCAAAGAGAGAGGGAGAGAGAGAAATGGTTATACACAAGTTATGCGTACTGGTGAGAGAAACGATATATATCCTCGACTGTTGGATGGAAGCGGCATCTATCGTTGGATTAATGTGACGAGGAATGTCCTCTACCGTTAGATCAAGTGGATCTCTACTGTCGGATCGATTAAATCAGAATTGTAATCCTCTTCAGTTAGATCGTGTAGAAGATCAATGATTGTAATTATAGGGACTTTTATATAAATAGAAAAGCCCTCCTACTCATTGGTATCGTCCACTCTCATTTGAGCAAAGGAACATTTTCCATAGTTTTTAGCACTTTGTGCGAGTGAAATTTGAACAAAAACATCCTCTTGTGAAGATTCGGGCATAAAAACTTTGTCAAATGTGAAACAATATTTTTGTCCTGTTCACAGCAGAAAAGACGCATGAATTTCTACATCACACAACATAGCAAATTGCCAAAAACGAAAAAAGAAAGAACAAAAATTACGGCGCTTGATCGTGACTTTGCAACCATTGTGTTCATATACCCTCACCTGATAAACTCGCGCAGGAAAAAATAAGGAATAATGACACAAACAGTCCATGAATTTTAGGCTGATATGTAATTTAGTCTGAACTTTCAATTTGTTCAACTTGATCACTGAACTTTTAGTAAATGTTCAATATAGTCTCGAACTATATGAAAATATACAATATAGTTCCCGAACTTGAATTAATGGAAGGACTATATGAACATGTGCCAAAGTTCTAGACCATAGCTGAACAAATTGAAAGTTCGGGACCATATTGAACATTGGGTTAAAGTTCGTGGACTACATTGAACAAATTAAAAGTTCATGGAGCAAATTGCACATTAGTCAAAGTTCGTGGATTATTTGTGTCATTCCAATTGATAGTGGAAGCAATAATGACTTATATAGTATGAAATTCAGTCTTGAGACTTTATCTTGATTATCGGATGGTTTTAATTTGATTTCATTTGCCTAATGGGTGAGTGTCAGTCGACAAATAGCGGCCTAGTTGCGACGAATGTCAGCTTATCATGACAAGTGGCGATGTATCATGACAAGTGTAACACGTCTTAACATGTGGCGATCAAACCGTGCTTAAAAACCAATGTGCATTTAGTCTTTAGATAGTAATTACACCGTTGAGCTCAAATGACGGGTTCTGCCATTAAAGGAGCACGTACCCATCTAGATACCCGTCGGATGGGGATAGTCTGCGATTGACACTCTTCAGTGGCAATTGAAAAAACTCTTTCCTCGTAAAATTTTGATTAAAAAATGAAAAATCCAGAACATCAAATTTGTAACACACGCAATTGTTCCATAAAATTACTAATTCGGCTCTAATTATTAGTCCAAATTATTTTGGGCCCATTTATTTTAGCATTGGTAAATTTATTAAAAGCTCAAAGTTCAATTTTCATGTGTTATAAAAGTACAGATCATTGACAAATGTTAATTAGTGTTGGATCGATGTTTTTAAGCAACTAATTATGGTATGGTCTTGTCGCCATCACATGACATTATGGAAGAGATGAAAGGGATAGATTTGTGATCGAGCAATGACCTCGAATTGAAATTGAAAATTCTATCATTGCATGAGGCTTTTTCGTACACAAGGTCATTTAATTCAGAAAGCTAACACGAAACGATCATTAACTTCCGGGCGGCAAGTCTTGTTGGTCCACATTAATATTGATCCTCGATAGCCCCCGGCCATATTTCTAAGTGCAAACATCATGACCGTGGTCCATCCACTGACCATTTGGAAATGTGTGGGATCTTATCAATGAATATTTCGGGACACTTGCTAGGTAATGTAAATTCTTAAAACTATTCTATTTATGTGATGCGGGGTGATTGATGCTTTAACAATTGGGAAAATGATAGCATTAACGCCTTAATTTTTGTGCAGCGCCTACTTTGTTACCAAGACTTTTAAGAAGCAATTACTTAAGTAACTTCCGTGACTTAGTCCGTCAAAATATTTGATGTGACTTGCTAGAGTCAATTAAATAGATGATTTTAAAATGTTTCAGCACTAAATTGATCGTTCATCCACCATTTGTAAATTTTTGGTTCTAAACTTTTTTTTAATTTGACCAAACAACATCCTGAGCCAAAAGCAGAAATCACAAGACAATATTCTAGTTTGGCCACTATTTTTCTTAATTTTGTCAGGCTTAAAGGCAAAATAATTGAGCAAAGTTTCTCTTCAAACTATTGCATTTAAAATTACGGAGATTTTATATTTGGGACCAATTTGGCCCCTATTTTTCAATATGTGAAAAATTAATGCATTTAACGAGATTGTTCAGTACATAGATTGTGCACCACACAATTTATAATGCTTTGTGCCGAAAATTTAAGAGCACTTTAGTGCCAAATTTCATGAACAATCAATTTAGTGCCAAATTTCTTAAGAGCATCCATCTAAGTGTCTCCGACGAGTCACGTCATGTTATATTTTTTGTGACCGAAATCACTAAAGTGGTTGCTTTTTTAAAAGTTGTGACACATATATTGTTATTTTTGAAAAGTTTTGACAAAACAATGAGCGTCATATAATGGTTGTGGCATTGATGTTATCTTTATCCCTTTAAAATCAAATTGAGTATAGGACCTCATTTTATACAAGGGTTAATATTATGAAAAATTCCAAACTAGTATATATGTGACAAATTTTCCCCAAACTAATTTTTGACCACCAAAAACCCCAAATTAGTACATTTGTGACAAATTTACGTAAAACTAATTTTTTTACCACAAAAAACCCCAAATTGGTACATTTGTGATAAATTTACCCTCCATCAGTTTATGTTAAATTGGATTAATACAAAAAAAATTACAAACTAGTACATATGTGACAAACGGATGGTAAAACCCAAAACTGGTACATCTGTCAATTGCCGTGTGTCATTTAACAATGCAATTTCACAGTAAAATTTAACGGAAACTGATGGAAGGTAAATTTATCACAGGTGTACCAGTTTGGAGTTTTTTGTGGTCAAAAAATTAGTTTATGGTAAATTTACAATAAATGTATCAGTTTGGAATTTTTCGTGGTATTAACTCTTTATACAAATTAACAGTTCAGATTTGTTGAGAAACCAAAAGGAGCACTTCCACGTCTCCCTTGTGAGGCATATTTCATGAATGCCCTTCTAGAAACACTCATTATATGACGTGCGTGTGAGACGGGGGAGACGATAATTTTGAAACTCTCTTTATTATCATTCTAGAGTGTTTCTAGAACTTTTAAACTTTTTCTCTTGTATAACTAAGTAGCACGAGTGAAGAGATCTAACTAGTTCCAATATGCAAGTATGCAGTTCGACTCGGAGTAGCTTCCCTCACAAAATCCTTTAGGTTGCATTTGGTGGCCCAAATAGGATAAAAGTTACCCTATCCGGCATTTGGTGGATGCACATCGATTGGGATAAATGCGGACGTCTAGACGAAAACCCGAATTTCCCTTACAAACTACACCCCTCTCAGGCTCGGGTCCATGTTGTTACCCTATCAAAAATGCTTTATTAAGTGATTGCGACATCATCAAATGATTAAACTATTTTAGTACTTTTTAGGATAAATTGTCTATCGCACGTTATGCTAGATGTCAGTAATGTCACACACAATTAGTAAGTAAAGATTTCGTGATATCGCATTAACACGTTACTTGAAATAATAATAAGCATCCGGCGACGTACCATCTCTCCGCCTTTTCGCAATCAAGTCCTCGCGGCGGTTGGAGGATGTCTTAAACATAGATAGGATCCCATATTGCAAATTCCTCAAGCAAATAAGTTTAGGACTGGTACGTCAAGAGGATTCCTAGCCACGAAACAGTTTGGTCCTCACAGCCCCTTGACCCTCTTCATGTCCCATGAACTTTTTGATGTGGTCCTTATATAACTGTAGCTCTTATCTTTTGGTTGTATATTGAGATAAGACCTCAAGTCAAGTCAATTTTGATCAATGACCTAGCCAACACGATGACAACGAAGTACTTGTCGGAACGAATAGATAAAAAAAGTGACGTAATAAAGGACATTCCAATAAGTTATAAATTTCAATACGTAATAAAATTACCCACATGACTTTAAAAATTGACTTTTTCTCCAAAAAGGATGAATTGACCTTTAAATCTACCGCAGTACATTTAACATACATAACTCTTGATTGATAACTATTGTAATATTAACAAACATCAAAGCTAACCCGAATCTTGTAATTTAAGTCCAATGCGAAATTAACAAAGAAAGTAAATGAGGAACGATAACTCTTGATTGATAAACATGCACGTATATGCCAGCCATGAACACAAAACAAAGTGGAGTAGCTGGAACATCATTTTCAAAGAAAGAAACAAGAGGCACGTATGAAATTGCTTGAACACTCCAAGCCTCAAGGGCATACCTACAACACACAACATTCACCATCTTGCCCTTCTTGAAAACTTTCGATACATAACGACTGTTACATTGGCGAAGTGGCAGAGAGACCGAAAAAGAATGAGTGAATCGCCATGCAGCAGCGGAGGCATCTTCCAAGCCCTAAACGGCAATGTCTACGGCAACGGGACGTGGACTCTGGTCCTGTCCCACGGCTTCGGGGCTGACCAGACCGTTTGGCACCACGTCGTGCCGTTCTTAGCGTGCTTCTTCAAAGTGGTGGTCTACGACTTGGCCTTCGTCCACCCGGGAGTGTATGGCGCTGCCGCAGGAAAGTACTCGGACTTGGGGGGTTACGCTGAAGACTTGGTGCGCCTTCTCGATGGGCTGAAGGTGAAGAGGAGCATTTACGTCGGTCACTCCATGTCGGCCATGATCGGGTGCTTGGCCGCAATCCGCAGGCCCGACCTCTTTGAACAACTTGTGCTGCTCAGTGGATCTCCAAGGTAGGTCCTCTCTCTCTCTCGCTCTCTCTCTCTGTGTGGACACATGTTCTAAGTTGTTTTACTGAGGGAGCTGGAGCCAGATAAATTCTGTAGATCCACATGCACACATAAACAAAAACTGTATCTCAAATATCCTTTGAGTATTAACAGAATATCCTTTTTGCCTCACTGCCTGTGTTTAAAACAGAAAGATAAAAGTCTATATAGATTTTGTTAAATGCACGACTTGGGTCATCTCGAATTCAAAATTTTCTCTAACCGAATGTGTTTCTTGGCGACTAGCTTGAGCGCTACAAAAAGCTGATATGATTCTTGATCTTTTAACGTCATTTTATTAACATATATCTGTGAATTACAGGTACCTCAACGCCAAAGGATACACTGGAGGCTTCGATGAACCGGCGATCAACTCGATACTACAATCAATGCGTGCGAATTACTCAGGTTGGATCCATGATTTCGCTCCAACAGCAATAGCACTGAACAACACGGGTGCACTGATGGAGTTCGAGCACAGCTTGGGACGAATAGAGCCTGAAATTGCGGTAAGCGTAGCTAAAACCGTGTTCCTCAGTGACCTGAGATGGGCTCTGCCAAAAGTGCCGGTTCCGTGCTCCATCATTCGATCCCGAAAGGACATCATCGTGCCAGCGTCCGTCTCGCATTACATGAAGAAGAAGATTGGGAATGGCACCTCCAAGGTGAAGATACTAAGGACACAAGGCCACTTCCCAATGCTCACTGCTTATCCTTTGCTTCTGGATGCCTTGAAGGGGGCAATTTAACTTCGTTCAAATTGCCCGGTTTGTGCGAAAGTGTTGAAGAAGCGAGCAAAATCTTCGCTAGAGACGGTCCACCTCATTGTTTAGTTGGGAACACGAATATTACCCAATTTGTTTTTTGTTAAATTTGCATATAAGTGACATTCGTATAGGGAACCCACTCACCGAGGCCTTTCTCTGAGCCACGAAAAACCACACAACCCTCTTGATTATGGTTCAATCCCGACCCTCTTTTTTATCTCTCATATGGTCTTTGTTTTTATATATAGCAATATAAGTACACTTTTATGCAAATGTGTCATTGGTTTCTTAGACATTTTTATGCAACCAAGTCCTTAACTTATTTGATTTGAGCAATTAATTTCTGTCTGCTATCTAATGCCAGTTATTTGCATTTAGCTTTTCTATGATATGTTCTTAGCGTCCTCCATCGAAAAATGATAAAATAGAAAGTGATAAAAGGGAGAGGGGTGGCCACCAATGCTCCACCAACACGGCAAAGGGGGCCTAATAGTTTTGATTTTGAGCATTTTTCTTTTTGCTTCATTTCATCTCCATGATTTTTTTAAATAAAATAATAGTTTTTGCTAAGCAGAAGAAAGATGCATTATTTGATTCAACTTGCTGACTATCTAAACAAGAAATATTTTTACAAAGTATGGATTTTACATATTAAAATATTTGATGCTAGAATTACAGAGCTAAAGAATTCTTAATTTCTCTCCAAACACTGTTTTTATTAAATAAAGAATAAAAGGTTTTTGTAAAAAAATAACTTTAAAAAATACGGAAGTAAATAAAAGTTCCATTTAACGTGAGAGATTTATAAACAAAAAAAAAACGAGAAATTTATTGGTCTTCAATATAGGTTGAGTGAGGAAACTAGAAAGGCAAGTTATATAAATATTTGGCTAGACATTCATGGTTATTGAAGGTCGTTTGGAGTAGTTTACTTAAAAAGGACGAGGTTTAAGTTGAAAAAGGCGTGGAAATAGTCACACCCTTACTAAATTAATCTGGGATTTCCATGGGGAAGAGTTTCCAATGGTCAGAAAAGCGTTAGCGTTCGCGTGGCATTTTACAATGTACCGTGTAACGTTGCTGGGTGAAAGCCGCAAAGTATTGGTGTCAATTATTTAGTGTGAATATTTTTACTTTGTCGGACTGCATGATCGAAAATGTAGTGTAATCATGTCTTGGATATACTTTGTAATTCTCGTATTAAGATAACAATGTCCAAGTAATTCGATTTAGAAAAAGAAACACGAAATGTAGCCCGAAAATAAGAAAAGTCCGATTGTGAGTCCTGTCCAAATAATGTATGGGCAAAAATGGACGGCCCAAAATGAAGAGAGATTCGTCATTAATTCAACTGTACAAACTTTCGATTCCCAAAATGCATTTAAGCTTTAAAGTAGGCAAGTCCGTGCCATTAATCTATTCAATCACTACAAAAAAACTGGATTTTTGCCACGAAAATTTACGACAAAAAAATTTTCGTCGCAAATTTGCGACAAATTTTCCAACGAAAAGTAAAATTCGTCGGAAATTAACGATGAAAAATTTTTCGTCGCAAAATTCGTTGGAAATTTTGCGACGAAAAATTTTTTGTTGGAAATTTCCAACGAATTTTGCGACGAATTCAAAAAAACCCGGTATTGTTCGGCATTTTTTAAATTCGTGGGAAAATTCGTTGGAAATTTCCAACGAATTTTCCCACGAATTTCAATTTTCCAAGCAATTATTTTACTGTGTACAATTTTCGTTGCAAAATTCGTGGGAAATTTCCCACAAATTTTGCAACGAAAACCCTACTCCTTCCTTATTTAAAATTTTCGCGCTCATTATTCTCGCAACGATTTTCAATTTCCACATTCTCTCTCTCTCTCTCTCTCTCTCTCTCTCTCTCTCTCTCTCTCTCTCTCTCTCTCTCTCTCTCTCTCTCTCTCTCTCTCTCTCTCTCTCTCCGCGATCGACGCCTCCACCTGCTCCATCGCGTCCAGCATCTTGGTCGGCGCACTCGGCGAGGCCTTTGCTCCACCGCCAGGGCCCAAGCTCCCATTGTGCTAGCAGAGCATCCGCCGATGAAGGGGCGGTGTCCCGTCGCGTTCGCGGCGGCGGCCGCCCGCGACCGCCGTGAGCCAGGCCCTCGCCATGGCGGGCGAGCTCAAGCTCGCCCAGATCTGGGCGAGTTCTGGGCGACCTCGAGCTCGCCGGCGACGAGGCTGGGTCTCGCCGTGTGACATCCTGGAAAAAATTAGTCCATTTGGGATTTATGAAATACTGGATTTTATGAATGTACTCGTAGTCAGTTCTCGCCCGGAACTGATCATTCCTGGGAATGCTAACCATTAGGGAAAGGCTAATAGGGGAAATTAAATTCGCGCGACTAAAGGAAATTCGATCGTGAATGGATTTCGACTATTAAATCGCGGAAGTGATATTTTGAGCCATTGTTGGCCGATCCAAGGATAGTTAGGGATCGATTCGCCATTGTCATAGTAGTGGATCGCGGGTTGTGACATCCCGAATTTCGGCCCATTTTTGGGATTTATAAAACGTGTAATTCGTCAGTGCACTTATAATAGAATCTCGCCCGGGAACTGATCACTCTCGGGTTCTTGTTTTTAAAATAGAGATTTTGCTAGAATTGCACTCGATCGAATTTGGCCGTTATTTAGACCCCGGACTTGGCAGTCGATTTTCGGGAGTGTCGGGACGAAATAAATTGGACGGTGTAGATATGGTCGGGGCCAACGTTGAGATTATTAGGAATAATGGAAAAAGGGGAGTTTTTGACCGGGTGCAAATTTGGACTAGTAGACCTCTCTCGCTATAGTTTGATTTAATTAATTTGGCCTTTGTCCCTTTTTATATTCGAGGCTTATTTTAGACCGGCAGATCGTTTTCGATTTTGAGATTGGGCCTTCGGATCGCGATTAATAGTTGAATGAAGTTTATTTTCTTTTCTCTCTCTCTCTCTCTCTCTCTCTCTCTCTCTCTCTCTCTCTCTCTCTCTCTCTCTCTCTCTCTCTCTCTCTATTTGGCCGTGAGAGGCCTCGAGCCGGAGGAGCTCCGCCGCCGCCGTCACTGTTCCGGCGCAGATCCGTCGCCTCGCCCAGCCGTCCAGCCGTCCCATTTCTCTCTCTATCTATGACCGTGCCCCTCTCTCCCTCTCTAGGCCGTGGATTAGCTTAAGCAGTCGTCGCCGCTCGCGCCGTTCGCCGGAGCCAGCCGCCGCCGATTGCTGCATTCCGGCGAGGGACCGCCGCTGCCCAGCCCCTTTTCATCGCGTGTTTGGCCGTTTCAAGCTTAGGACATCCGGTGAGTTTGACCCTAAACCCTAATTAGGACAATTTGCATTTCTAGACGGGTTTTAGGGGTTAATTAGGGTAATTAGGGGCTAAATGGTGGCTGCTGTTAGGGGCTGATTTTGTGGCGTTTTTGGTGACCAAGGATGATTATTTGGTCGAGGTTTAGTGACTGGTATAGTGTTGTGATGTGGCGAAGCGTAGGTGTCGGGATTTGGACAAAATGGTGGACTTGGGGAAATGAAATTAATAACCCGTGTTGTGGCTGATTTTGTGGCCCGTTTGGTGACCGAGAATGATGATTTAATTGAGGTTTAGTGGACTATGGTGTGCTGTGATGTGGCGAGGCATAGGTGCCGTGATTTGGACGGAATTGTGGATTTAGCGGGTGAAATTGGGAGACCGAATGGTGGCTGTCTTGGTGGCTATTTTACGGGCTTAGTGCGACAATTTAGTTGAGATTTATTGACCCGCGAGGTGCCATGAGATGGCTGGACAGATTGGTTCGGAGCGGTCCAAGTTTGGAGTAAGTTCGGGCTTTAAATATGGATTTTAGTGCGCGCCTCATTTGATCTTTGTGGTGGCTGATTAGAATGATGGTTTGGGGAGTTTAATGGGGCATTTTGAAGATATTTATTGGCCTAGACATTGCGGTATAGCGGCTGGCCACGGCAGGATTTGATTTAGGCGAGGCGTGATCAATTTGAAGTTTAATTGTGCAATTACCGGGAATGATCGCATTGATCAATTGACTAGCTAAATGAGCCTTGTTGTGATTGATTTTAGGATGCCATGTTGCTTGTTTAGCGGGACTAAGAATGGAATAGCTTGGCGGGCCTCGAATGCGAGGGTTCTTGTTATCCCGGTTGTGTGGATTGTGCATGGATTGTGTGTCAAGTTGATGCCATGGCTGATTTGCATTGATTGTCTGATTGGGCATGTTGATTTATGAAATTGAATATGCGTGGTGCAAGTGCGCATGATTGCATCGTGATTTGAGTAAGTGGTGCGGTGCAAGTGAATGCCCGAGTGTGAAGTTTATGGCCATGAGTTTGCATCACGAGCATTGGCACGGCATGTGCATTTACAAGTGTGCTCGAGTGACATGTGCATTGTGATCACCTAAAATGCCCTGATGCGTTTAACGCGGGGTTCAGATGAAAATTGGTGCTTGTGAATGTGTGATCACAATAAACCCTGATGCGTTTTACGCGGGGTAGTGAACCATTCCTAAGGCGTGTTACGCGGGACGATACCCGGTTTACCGGAAGATGACCAACCTGAGGCGTTTTACGCGGGTTTTGGTCCATATAAGGAGATCGGTGTTGCGTCTGATGCGTTTTACGCGGGCTAGAGACACTGGGCTTGATGTGTTTTACGCGGGCCAGGAAGTGTTGTATGTGATAGACCTGATGCGTTTTACGCGGGTCGGACCTGATGCGTTTAACGCGGGTCGGAGGAGAAATTGATAAATGGCAAGTGTGCTAGAGTGCAAGCGTGCGACAATGCATTGATGAGGCGTGAGCACGCGTATGAGCACGAGCATAAGCATGACATGCGTTGTGACCAAGTGAGGTGTGCATGTGCTGTGATTGGGTCCTATGTTTTATTCTTGAACTGTAAGTGCCTAACCTGCAGGGCAAGGTGAGTGTTGGATTTGGGCCCGAGAGCCTAAGTCAATTATGATTTGCTTGGTGTGTTGATTTAGTACTCATCAGGAGGTGCACTTTAGCCTAATTTAGGTTTAGGGAATTACTCGCTGAGATTTATTCTCACTGTTGTTGAAACCCAATTTTTCAGACCCCCAGCGTTAAGATGTCCGAGATTCCGGTTCGTTTTGGGATTCCGCTCCTAGTAGAGCGGACGAGGACGATACACCCGTAGGGAACGGGGAATCGTATGTTAGGTATCATTCTATTGTTTGGGTGGAGGTGGGGGCAACGCA